CGGGGACACCCCCGGGGACACCCCCGGGGACACGGCGGGGAGGGGGGTCCCGGCCCCCGAGACCGTCCCGGCTCCGGAGCGCGGGGGTCGCGCCGGGCCGAGGGCGCGAGGGGGGGGGGCGGTGGCGACCCCGGGGGTCGCTTCCGGTGGCCTCGTGGCCTCAGGGGTCGCTTCCGGTGGCCTCGCGGCCCCGGGGGTCGCTTCCTGGTGTCCCCTGGCCACGTGTCCCCGTGTCCCTGGGGATCTCTTCCCGCTGGCCCCTGGCCACATGACCCCGGGAATCTGTTCCTGGTGGCCCTGTGGGTCTCGTGCTGGTGTCCCCATGTCCCCCTGTCCCGTGTCCCCCTGTCCTGGTACCCCCATGTCCTGGTGTCCCCCTGTCCCCCTGTCCTGGTGTCCCCCTGTCCCCCTGTCCTGGTGTCCCCCTGTCCTGGTGTCCCCCTGTCCCGTGTCCCCCTGTCCCCCTGTCCCTACACCTGTCCCGGTGTAGCCCTGTCCCTCTGTCCTGGTGTCCCCCTGTCCTGGTGTCCCCATGTCCTGGTGTCCCTGTATCCCGGTGTCCCCATGTCCCCCTGTCCCGTGTCCCCCTGTCCCCCTGTCCCGGTGTCCCCCTGTCCCTCTGTCCTGGTACCCCCATGTCCTGGTGTCCCCCTGTCCCCTGTCCCCCTGTCCCGGTGTCCCCAACACCCCAGCCCTGCCAGGGTCACTGTCCCACTGTCCCCATCCCATTTCCGGTGCCTTGTGTCCACGCCCCCGTGTCCCATAATGGGATTTTATTCCCGTTTTTAGCTAAAATCCCCATTTTTTTTCCTCTTCCCAGCAGGACACAGCCGCCATGGCTGACGAGGAGCTGGGGACCAGAGCCACCAGGAAGGCCACTTTGTCACCTGGCAGTGCCCGGGGCGCGGCCACCGAGTCCAGCACGCTGCTCCAGGAGCTGCGGGGCAACATCTCGTAAGGGCGGCGGGAATTTGGGAATTTGGGAATTCCTCCGGAGCCGGCGGCGGCAGCGGGATGGGGGAACCGGGAATTCCGAACCCTGGGGGCTGAAGGGAGGAGAGATGGGGACAGGGGACAGCAGGAGGGAATGTCCCCAGGGATGTGGGGACAGGGGACACCAGGATGGAGTGTCCCTCTGGACGTGGGGACACCAGGATGGAATGTCCCCAAGGACATGGGGACACCAGGATGGAATGTCCCGAGGGACAGGGGACAGCAGGATGGAATGTCCTCAGGGACAGGGGACACCAGGATGGAATGTCCCGAGGGACAGGGGACAGCAGGATGGAATGTCCTCAGGGACAGGGGACACCAGGATGGAATGTCCTCAGGGACAGGGGACACCAGGATGGAATGTCCCCAGGGACAGGGGACACCACAGGGACACAGGAGCCCGTTTTGGGTGCCAAACCAGCCCAGTGTCCCTGTGGTGGGATCCCGTGGGGATCCATCCTGGGTCCATCCTGGATCCATCCTGGGTCCATCCTGGGTCCATCCTGGGTCCATCCTGGATCCATCCTGGGTCCATCCTGGATCCATCCTGGGTCCATCCTGGATCCATCCTGGGTCCATCCTGGGTCCATCCTGGATCCATCCTGGATCCATCCTGGGTCCATCCTGGATCCCTGGGCTCTGGAAGGACCTCAGGGAGCCTTGGGAAGAGCTGGAATTGCGATCCCAGGATTTTTGGGATCATCCCTGACTCGCGGCCTCTGTCCCACGCAGCAAATCCGTGCAGAGCAAGGTGGACTCCATCCTGGTGAGTGTTTCCATGGAATGCTGGGCTGGAAGGGGGTGGAATTCCCACCTCTCCTGGCTGATCCCGCTTTTTCGGGCTCATCCTGGCGGATCCTTGACCTTCTCCTCGTGGCCGGTCCCTTCCCGCCGGGAGAGCAGCAGGATGTGCAGAAGTTCTCGGACAGTGACAAACTCTACCTGTACCTGCAGCTGCCCTCGGGGCCCAGCCTGGGCGAGAAGAGGTGGGGAGGGATCTGTGGGGTGGGGTCTGTGGGGTGTGTGGGGTGGGGTCTGTGGG